GGAAGGAATGTTTAGATTGGAAGTAGAAAACTCTAGCAGTTGAGTTTGGTAATCTATAATCTTATGGGCCAAGACACTAATGACTTGTTTTGGCCCCTGCTGAGGGCACTAAACTGTGTTGCCTCTGTTCTAGATTGTGAACCTTCTTCCTCAGTTTGCGAGCTAGTCAAAAGACAACCTGGTTAGTGCTTGCAATAAAGCTGCCTCTTTAAAGATGAAGAAAATTCAGGCTCCTGGCAGTCTGACCTTGGCTCTTGAGTGTCCCTTGTCAATTGCAGTAATATAGATTTCCATTCAAACTATGAAATGTGTATGTCATGCTCACTGGGTAGGTTTACAGTCAAGAACTTTGCCTGTAATCATTTTCCTTTAGGTGGGCATAACACAGTTATTCTGAGACTCCTGATAGTAGCCGCAGTGGCATGATTAGGACCTCAAAAGCTACATACTATCAGATTCAAAAACACAGATGTGTTCAGCTCAGCAGCTTGAGATCACTATGCAGTCTTGCACTGCACAGTTCAGAAGCCTATCAAGAAATTTATCATTCTTTTTAATATATAAATATATATTATATATTTTATATTTATATTTATATATTTATATATATATTTTAGAGATTGGGTCTATGATGCTGAAGCTGGTCTTGAACTCTTGGGCTGAAGCGATCCACCCATGTCAGCCTCCCAAAGTGCTGGGATTACAGGCATGAGCCACTATACCTGGTGCCCAAAATTTATCATTCTGAAAACTTGTATGAGGATAGGATTTACTCTGGGGAATGGACAGAGTCCCTTGAAAGAGAACTGTATGAAAGAGAAGAAGGCTGTTTACATTTGTTGGATACGTTAACCTCAAAAGTCTTCAATAAATGAAGACCCACTTGCAGATAATGATTTCTTTTTCCTTTTACTATGCTTCTAACCTTACTTTTGGCCTTTGTTCATAACACATGTTTTCTTCCTTTCCTGGCTTTCCATTCTTAAGTAATTTCATCTAGATACGTGTAGACCATCTGTCCTTCCAAAACGACAAGGGACAGGGGTGCGAACAAGAGGCGCAGTGTGAACAGAAAGCCAGGAAAAACCTTGCAGTTTTTTGGCTCCTCTTTGCCTACCCTGCAGCCCCCTGGGGAATAACAGGGAAACAACAGCTTGTATCCATTTGAGAAAGTGGCAATGGCTGCGGAAGGGGAAATGTGAGGCGATTAAGCTCTCTTCCTAGACACGGAAAAACAATGCAGATGGTGGGTAGTGTGCTGGAGTGCACACATGCTGTGCCTTAGAATCAAACACAGTGGAGGCTTTTAATTTTCATTGAAGTAGAACATCAGAGGTTCCAACATTAGTGGAAAATAGGTTGGGTGAGGTAAAATATAAGCCAGTAATTTGAATTGCTTCCACATATGCAATTAGAACTTTTCTACATTATGATAATTTTGTAATAACCTGTGTCTTTCCTCAAAAGATCCTCCCACGACCTTGGGGATTGATTACATGCATATGGCACTCCAGGAGTGCACCCACAGGATTGTCCCAGCTTAAGATAGCGGTTGAGTATCCCTTATCCAAAATGCTTGGGACCAGCAGTGTTTCAGATTTTGGAACATTTGTGTTACACTTACTGGTTGAGCATCACTAATCCAAAAATCCAAAATTCAGGCCGGGTACTGTGGCTCACGCCTGTAATTGCAGCACTGTGGGAGGCCTTAGGTGGGCAGATAGCTTGAGCTCAAGGGTTCAAGAACAGCCCAGGCAACATAGGATACCCCCATCTCTACAAAAGATACAAAAATTAGCCAGGCGTGGTAGTGCACGCCTATAGTCCCGGCTACTCAGAAGGCTAAGATGGGAAGATCACTTGAGCCCAGGAGGTTGAGGCTGCAGTGAGCCATGATTGTGCCACTGCACTTCAGCCTGGGTGATAGTTCAAGACCCTGTCTGGAAAAAAAAAAATCCAGAATGCTCCAATAAATATTTCCCTTTTGCATGATCTTTGTGCATCGTGTTGGTGCTCAAAAAATTTTGGATTTGGGGCCAGGTGCAGTGGCTCACGCCTGTAATCTCAGCACTTTGGGAGGCCAAGGCAGGTGGATCACCTGAGGTCAGGAGTCTGAGACCAGCCTGGACAATATATACTGAGACCTTGTCTCTACTAAAACTACAAAAATTATCTGGGCATGGTGGCACATGCCTGTAGTCCCAGCTACTTGGGAAGCTGAGGCAGGAGAATCACTTGAACCCAGGAGGTGGAAGTTGTAGGGAGCCAAGATCATGCCACTGCACTCCAGCCTGGGCAACAGAGCAAGACTCTGTCGCTCAACAACAAAAAAAAAGTTTTGGATTTTGAAGCATTTCAGATTTGGGGTTTTTGGATTAGCAGTGTTTCACCCTGCATACACTTGACCCCTGCAGCCACATGATGTCTAGCTATTGCCCTTGAAAATTTAACCCTAATGAAGGTCCTTGAGATATACCTTCAGACTTCCCCAGCCTTAGCATAGTAGGTCTTCAGTTAATAAATTTTGAACAAATAAGACATTAGTTCAAGTCTGTTTCCATTAGCAGTTTTGCGTGTAAAGGAAAACAGATCTCCATGGCTCCCTCCAGCCATGTTTAAGACCTCAGAAATAAGGGGGGTCCTGCCTCAGAAGAGCCTAAAAACCTGAAAGGAGAGGTGCTGCCCAAAATCAAACTGCAAAGCTGAAGTAGTAAGCTTCGAAGCAGCCATACAACTTGGACAAGCGGAAGTTGATTGTTTTTAAGCCCTTTCAGATTCCAGTCACTTAAAAATAATCATAATAGAGCCCATTACCAAAAGACAAGTCTGAGTTTTGAAAGAACATTAGTAAAAATGGTAATCTGAGCATTGGAATTGTTGCTTGGGCGTCTCCGCTGGAAATTGACCTTACTATCTGAAACAAAACAGAGGCGAGGCCTTGTGCCCCTATGGAGCACAGAAAATAAAGGCCTTTTGTAAGCCTTGAGCAAGCTGCAGCTGCTGCCAGTGTCACAAACAAGAAACTTTTCAACCATGAATCTATCTGGTGAGATAAAGCTGAAAATTCATCTAATTCCAGCACATGGGATTTCCCCACAGCTGTGAAACCTTCCACATAAGGGTAGAATGAACACTCTAAATCATTAAAGTCTGTCCTGGAGAGCAGGGAGCACAGCCTTGTTTCACATGCATTGAAGAAGCCCATAGGTGAACTTTTACCCAGGTTTCAGTGAAATCTGATTTAAACATTGCAGAAAGTATGCCCATTTAGAAAATGTTGTCAGTCCTCCACTTTGTTTCAGGATAGTAAATTGAGTCATAAGTCACACTTAAATTGAATCCTGAAAACTTTTGGTATTGTCAAAAATTAATCAGCTCTATAGAATGATGGTGTGACAAACATCAAATATTGAGTGGCAGTGCTGAAAAAGAGGCTTTCACCTAATAATTGATGATGTTGATTTCTTTGGACATAGTTTTGTGTCTCATTTAAATGTAACTAAGCCCCATGGCTGTATAAGTTTATCCAAAACAACACAGTGCTATTCTACAGGAAGCGAATATACTCAGAAGTAGGAAATGGTGTGGTGTTGAGAGATAGTCTTTGGACCCAAATAGGGCTGAATTCAAACCCCAGCTCTGTCACATGTAGCTGCATGTTACCTCAGTTTTCTCATCTGCAGAGTGGAGCTAACAATAGCTGCTCCAGAGGCTGTTATAGTGACTATAAGCACAGTGACTCACACCTGTATCCCAGCACTTTAGGAGGCCAAGGCAGGCAGATTGCTTAAGCCAAGAAGTTCAAGACCAGTCTGGCAACATAACGAGAACCCCATCTCTGTTTACAAAAAAAATTTTTTAAGTCATTAAAAAAAAAGAACATATGGGTGAAATACCTGGACCGTAGTACATGCTCAGTAAATGGTCGCTGTTAGGCCAGGCATGGTGGTTCATGCCTGTAATCCCAGCACTTTGGGAAGCCGAGGCCAGTGGATCACCTGAGGTCAGGAGTTCAAGACCAGCCTGGCCAACATGGTGAAACCCTATCTCTCCTAAAAATACAAAAATTAGCCAGGCGTGGTGGTGCATGCCTGAAATCCCAGCTACTCGGGAGGCTGAGACAGGAGAATCTCTTGAACCTGGGAGGTGGAGGTTGCAGTGAGCCAAGATTGCACCATTGCACTCTAACCTGGGTAATGAGTGAAACTCCGTCTTAAAATAAAAGGGGGGGGGCAGGGGGGAAAATGGTCACTGTCACAGGTTTATACAAAAGTAATTGTATTAAAATACAGTTCTATGTCTTGCTCATTGACACAGTCTCACCACTGAGGAAACAAATTTAGGTCTCTATCAACTTACCAAGCTAACTGAAGAAATGAGAGCTGAAAGAGAAATTCACTCTCAACTTTCTTATTTCGCGTCTCATATGTAAGTCCTGTCTCTATCAATGTCCTAACATTTTATTGGTATTTTGGGGAAACTTGAAAATATATTACTCTTCTTTAAAATTATACTCTCAGACCTTTATGAATTTTTTAGAAGAGTAATCAATATTATTATCTTTAAAACAAAATTAGGAATGCTTCTGTTCACAAGATATCAGGATGTCAGGACATTGCTGAGTCTGGGTCTGTTCAGTAAACGTTATCAATCTGTTCCATTAACCATAGACATCTAGAGGCTAGGAATACCTAACTTCCTGGGAATGCAGCCCAGCAAGTCCCAGCCTCATTTTTCCTAGCCCTTACTCAAGATGCTCAAGATGCTCAAGATGCTGTTGCTCTGGTTTGACTGTCTCTGACAATAGTAAGTGGCAGATCTGGGATAAGAACCTAGAGCTTCTGTTTCTTAGTTTCTGCAGATCTTACTGAGAATTGTAGCTCAAAAATATAATCCCAGTCATCAGCTATTTTCTGCCATCAAACACAGCTGATCATTCCATGTTCCATGTCAAAATACTTTCCATTGACCCAGGAACACTCTTTCTGTTTCCCTCCCAGTTTGAACGCCATGACCCTGTGGATGGAAGAATTACTGAGAGGCAGTTTGGTGGCATGCTACTTGCCTACAGTGGGGTGCAGTCCAAGAAGCTGACCGCCATGCAGAGGCAGCTCAAGAAGCACTTCAAAGAAGGAAAGGTAGGTAGCTTTGGCTGGAGGAAGAAAAGAAACTATGGGAATGTATGCTTATTATTTAATATGAAGGTACTAACATAATGATGAGAGTATTTCATGAACCAATGATTACACCTAATTCATTTCTGGTACCTAAGGTCCAAAGGGAGAAAAGAAATAAGCAGTGGGTGAGGAAGAGGAGAGCGTCCAGAATCACCCCAAGTTTCTTGTTTAGGAAAGGGTGGCACCAACTGGAATTGAGAATTTTAAAAGAGAGACTGGTTTAGATGGGAAAATAAAGAGTTCAGTCATGGACATCTTAAATTTAAGATGCCTGTGGACTATTCAAGCAGAGATGGTCAGCAGGCAGCTGCATATTCACGTTACCGTAGAGATCTGAGATAGGTTTGGGAATCACAACACATGTTAGCATTACAACCATAAGAACAGATGAGATTGCCCAAGGAGGGTATTTTACAGAAAAGAACTGTGGGCCAAGGACGGAAGCCAGTGGGACACAAACATTCAAGCAGCTCAGGAAGCAAATCTAGAAGAAATGGTTAGAGAATACCTAAAGAAGCCGGGTGCCGTGGCTTACACCTGTAATCCCAGCACTGTGGGAGGCCAAGGCAGGTGGATCACTTGAGGTCAGGAGTTCAAGACCAGCCTGGCCAACATGGTGAAACCCCATCTCTACTAAAAATACAAAAATTAGGTGGACATGGTGGCACGCGTATATAATCCCAGCTACTCAGAGGCTGAGGCGCAAGAATCACTTGAAACCAAGCGACAGAGGTTGCAGTGAGCCAAGATTGTGCCATTGCACTCCAGCCTGGGCAACAGAGTGAGACTCCATCTCAAAAAAAAAAAAAAGAAGAAGAAGAAGAGAATACCTGAAGAACCTAAAGAGAGTAGTGAAATCAAAGCCAAGGAAGTAGAGGGTTCAAGAACTGAGGGGTCTACCATGTCACATATAACAGCAAGGATCCAGTAAGGTAAAGGTGGTAACATCCATTGGTTTTGGCGAAATGGCAATAATTGGTGACCTTTGAGAGGGCTGTTTCATTAGAGTGGTCTAGTTGGAAGGCATATTCGGTGAAAATTACAGAAGCAGAGAAAGGAGAGAGGTGGAAAAGGAGGCTCTGGAAAGTGGGACATCACATAGGCAAATTCCAAGACACTGTATTAGCCTACTTGGGCTACTGTAACAACATACCACAGACTGGGTGGCTTTAACAAGAGAAAGTTATTTTCTCACATTCCTGGAGGCTAGAAGCCTGTGATCAAGGTGCCAGCTGATTTAGTTTCTGATAAGAGCTCTTTTCCTGCCTTGCAGGTAGCTGCCTTTTCAATGTGTCCTCACACGGTCTTTCCTCAGTATGTGTGCATGAAGAGAGAAAGAAATCTCTTTGTGTTTTTTCTTATAAGAACACTAATCCTAGCAGATTAGGGCTCCACCCTTGTGACCTCATTTAGCCTTGTTATTTTCTCTAGGGCCCCATCTCCAAATACAACCACATTGGGCACACTGGGGGTTAGGGAGGGCTTCAACATATGAATGGGGTGGGGGGTGGGGTCAGTCCATAACAAGCAGGAAAAACAAACCTGGCATGTGTGAAGAACTGAAAGGGGACTAGTTTATATAGAAGGTTCTGAGCAAAAAGGAGAATGGCCTGAGCTGAGCTCAGAGAGGGATATGAGGAACAGAACATGCAAGACTTCACAGGAATGGAAGGAGTTTGGAGTTTACTCACAGTACAATAGAACGCCATTAAAGAGTTGTGAGTAGTGAAATGACCTGGTTATATCTACGTTTAAAGAGACAGCTCTGGTTGTTTTATGGAAGATAGTTTGGAGAAGAGCAAGCATAGAAACAGAAAAGACTGATAATAAGGCTATTAGAATTCAGGAGATGAGTTAGAGTTTGTTGAACAGCCTTGAGGTTGGAGACCATGGATTTGTGGAACACTCTAGCAATGCTGTTCTCTGGTACCCTTCAACACCAGCTGCACCTGGTACAAGGAAAGAAAAGGTGGTGGCTGTGCACAGTGGCTCATGCCTGTAATCCTAACACTTTGGGAGGTCAAGACACGCAGATTACTTGAGGTCAGGAGTTCAAGACCACCCTGGCCAACATGGCAAAACCCCGTCTCTACTAAAAATACAAAAATTAGCCAGGCGTGGTGGTGGGCACCTATAATCCCAGCTACTTGGGAGGTTGAGGCAGGAAAATCGCTTGGACCCGGGGAAGGGGGGTTGCAGAGGAAGGGTGGAGGTTGCAGTGAACCAAGATCACACCACTTCACTCCAGCGTGGGAGAAAGAATGAAACTCCATCTCAAAAAAAAGAAAAAGAAAAAAAAAGAAAAGATGATAGGACTGAGTCAGCATCTGAGAGTGAGATGAACAAATAGAAGCAGAGACCAGTTAAAAGGTCAGGCCTCATTGGGCACCGTGGCTCATGCCTGTAATCCCAGCACTTTGGGAGGCTGAGGCGGGAGAATCAAAGTTGAAGACTTGCCACAATGTAAGATGTGTCTTTTATTTTTATTTTTTTTTTCTTTTTATTTATTTATTTTTTTTGAGACAGAGTTTCACCGTTGTTGCCCAGGCTGGAATGCAATGGCGCGATCTCGGCTCATTGCAACCTCCACCTCCTGGGTTCGAGTGATTCTCCTGCCTAGAAGTTCTCCTACCCAGAAGTTCAAGACCAGCTTGGGCAAAGTGGCAAAACCTTGTCTCCACAAAAAGTACAAAAACTAGCCAGGCATGGTGGCATGTGCCTGTAGTCCCACCTACTCAGGAGACTGAGGTGGGAGGATCACCTGAGCTTGGGGAGGTTGAAGCTGCAGTTAGCTATAATCATGCTATTGCACTCCAGCCTGGGTGACAGAATGAGACCTTGCCTTAAAAAAATAAATAAAAATCGAGGCCTCTAAGAGAACACACACGCACAAACACACAAAGCAGTGCTAAGGCTAAAACCCAGATCTTCTCATTCCCAGCCCAGTACTCTTCCCACTGGACAATGGCTACCATCTGACCATGACCAAGAATCTAACCTGGCACTAAAAATATTCCATGAGAGATTGCCAAGTATATTAGTCCATTCTCTTGCTGCTAATAAGGACATACCGAGACTGGGTAATGTATAAAGGAAAGAGGTTTGATTTCATAGTTCCACATGGCTGGGGAGGCCTCACAATCATGGCGGAAGGCAAAGGAGAAGAAAAGACATGTCTTATGGCTGGGTGCAGTGGCTCACGCCTGTAATCCCAGCACTTTGGGAGGCCAAAGCGGGCGAATCACCTGAGGTCGGGAGTTGGAGACCAGCCTGAACAACATGGAGAAACCCGTCACTACTAAAAATCCAAAAAATTAGCCCGGCATGGTGGCGCATGCCTGTAATCCCAGCTACTCAGGAGGCTGAGGCAGGAGAATCACTTGAACCCAGGAGGCGGAGGTTGCTGTGAGCTAAGTTCGCGCCATCGCACTCCAGCTTCAGCAGTAAGAGCAAAACTCCGTCTCAAAAAAAATAAAAAGAAACAAAATGAAAAGACACATCTTACATTGAGGCAGGCAAGAAAGAAAGCATGTGCAGGGGAACTCCTTTTTGAAACCATCAGATCTTGTGAGACTTATTCACTATCGCAAGAACAGCACAGGGAAGATCTACCCTCATGATTCAGTTACCTTCCACCAGGTCCCTTCCACAACACATGGGCATTATGGGAGCTACAATTCGAGATTTGGGTGGGGACACAGCCAAACCATATGACCAAGGTAGTGTAGCATGGTAGGCATGAAGATGGAAAACTTGAGATCAACTTCTGCCTCAGAGGTTTCCATAGTCATTAGATAAATCACTTAACCTTATTGGCCTCATGAATTGAGAGGCTTATCCTAGATGCTTGCTGTAAGGGCCCTTCTAGCTTTAAAGATTCAATAATTGAAAATAAGATAGAGGATTGCTAGTGCTTGTCCCAGTTTTCCTAGTTAGTCTTTGTGCAAGAAATCTTGTATGCATAGCATTGCCCCAACTTGGTGGAAAGCCCTTCTTATCAGCCAGACTTTTTCCTCCTTGTCTTGGATGTTGAAAAGTTGAAAGGACCTCTGAACCAGGCTGTGGGCTGCAAATGAGGGCAGGCTGGACTCTGAGAGGAAGTGTCAGCTTCTGTGAACTCAGTGCAGCCTTTTCCCACAGCAGGTGTTTTCTTGGCTGTGGGGAAAACTCATCATTAATGGAAAGTGACAGAGAAAAAACATTTATCTCCCATAGAGCACTTCTACACTACCCAGTACTTAGCTCATGTCTGTTGGAAATCGTAATTTCAAAAAACTGATTACGAATGTATAGGTGGATTTTTTAGCCCCTATGCTGGAAATACAGTGTTTGCATTCAGACATGCTCCTTTATTTTGACCAGGCTTATTTTTAAAGGTTGGTCCAGATATTGATTTTACTTTAATTATCTATCATGATAGATGAATTCATATTTCATTATGAATTTATACTTAAAAGCAATAAATTGGGCATTGGAGACATCTCCCTTGAAGGAACAGAGTATTTGAGCATTGACAGGAGTTAATTTAGGATCCAAGGACCTTGCAAAAGAGCTCTAAAATGAAAGGACAAATTTTGTCAGATGATGAAACTCTGCAGTGTTAAATTACTTTTGGCCCAGAATTTCTAGCCTGTGTTAGCAACGAGATTAAGATTGATTGTCCTCTCATGTTGATTAAATAGTTTGTGAACATAGCAATTAACTAAAGTGAGTGTCAATGAAGGGCCTTTGCTCCTAAGGTTACGAGTCCATCTCTCTAGGACCATTTCCTATAAAAGGGGAATCGCCATCTGCTTTCTAATTGCTTCTTTTATTCCACTTTGGATTTGTTAACATGAAAATCTAAGTTTTCATTTGGCTGACATTAATCAATTTCTGTGTGAGGTTCTGTATCAAGATATCAAACAAGACCTAAGAGGTTGAAGGTCCTAATGGTGGTGTTAAATTTTTGCTTATAAATT